AGATCACAAATGCCTGTCCTCACAGGCTCCCCAGTCTTTGGATCACCTTTGTGCTCCTTCTCTGACTCTCTCCAGCCTGTCCACAGCTTCCCTGCATAGCAGGGACCAAAACTGCACCCAGTATTCCAGGTGTGGCCTGACAGGCGCTGAGTGGGACAACGACACCTTTATCTCTGCTGGTGATGCCCTTGTTAATGCAGCTCAGCATCTTGTTGGGTTTCTTTGCCACAGGAGCACACTGTTTACTCATATTCAGCCCACCAGGACCCCAGGTCCCTTTCCACAGAGCTGCTCCCAGGCAGGAAGATCCCAGCCCGCAGCCTGTGCTGGATTGTGTTTTCCCAGGTGCAAGACCTTACACTTGTCCTTGTTGAACTCCGTAAAGTTCTTGTTACCCCACTCCTCCAGCCTATCCAGATCATCCTGCAGGGTTGTTCTCCCTTCCAAAGAGTCCACTTCCCATTCAGTTCAGCATCACTTCATCGGGGTACACTTGACCCCATCATCCAGATCATTTATGAAGGTGTTAAACAGTGTTGAGCCCAGCATTGATCCCTGGGGACCCCACTGGTGACAAGTCCCGATTTAAAAAGGACTCTCTTTTCATGACAGATCCAGCTTAGTGTCACTGAATAGTTTTCAGCACAGTGAAGGAATTAATTTGGTCACAAATGCAAACGCTCAGTGAAATCTAAATAAAGGACAGCAAAAGTCCACATTTTATGGAGTCCCTCCAACATCCCTAAAGATCCTCATAAACCAATTCCACCTTCCTATCCGGCACGTCTCACGGCACAGAAATGGCGGCTCAGGACCGAGGGAGTCCCCCGGCTGCACTCCCCACCGCCGGAGCCGCCCCGGTCCGCGTCCCCGGTGGAGCTCCGCCCCGCGGCCCGGCCCGGCCCGTTCCGCTGGAGCCCGACGGCCTAGGGGTCGGTAGCGAGCCGCCCGCTGCCCAGGCCCGGCCCACAGCCATGGCGGCCGCCGCGCTGTGGCGGCTGCGGCGGGCCTTGACGGCGGCTTTCAGCAGCGCGGCGGGGCCCGGACGGCCGGAGAAGCTGACGGTGCGGCGGCAGGCGGAGGGTGTCCGGTGAGGCGGCGGCCGAGGTGAAGGGTACAGGCACCGCTGCGGGCCCGTCCCTGAGGCGCTGGGTGCGTTTAGTGTTTTGTTGTACTAACTCTCCTTGTGCTCGTACAGGAACATCATCCTGAACAACCCGAGGAGAAGAAATGCCCTGTCCCTGTCCATGCTGCAGTCCCTCAGGGAGGACCTGCTGCACGACGTCAAAAGCAAGGACCTCCGAGTTATCGTCATCTCAGGTACTGAGACAGGAGAGAAGGGCAGGGCAAGGGGAAGAGCAGGAATGGGGTAATAGGGAGTTTAAACCAAAATCTCGCACAGAGTTAGTGTTCAAGTGTTAAGAATGTGTTCAAGCCACGTTGGACAGGGTTTGGAGCAACCTGCTCTAGCGGAAGGTGTCCCTGGCCATGGCAGGGGGTTGGAGCTGGAGGAGTTTTAAGGTCCCTTCCAGCCTAACCCAGTCTGGGATGCTATGATTCCTGTTACAGAAAATGGGATGGGACTTGCATGTTGTTGTCCATACAGCTGGCCAGGAACATGCAGGGGTATCTGTCCTAAGGGTGCTTTCACACGTCAGATCTTGCTGTCCTGCTGTTCCTTTATACACACCCCAGTTTCTGCTCTCATGTACTTAATTCCTCATTCTTGAACACGGTATTAAACACTGACTTGCTTTTTTGTTATGTTTTTTGTTGACAGTTAACATGTCTAAGAAGAAACACCACAGAAACACTCTTCAAAATGTCAGCATTCAGTCAGGTTTTGCAGTGTGTTTACAGAGTCAATGAGCTTTTTCCTTTTGTAAAAGCAATCAGTAGGTTGAAATAACTGTGTGTAAAGAATACTTTAAACAGAATAAAACCAGATTCTAATGGTTCTCAGACTAAAGAAATATCATTCCAAGATACAGGATTTTGTACAGGAATAGGCTGAGCTGGAGTGTCACTTGTTGCCTTGTAGTAGGTTAGATGATAGTAAACAGCTCACATGGTTTCTTCAGTTTGTGTACTCTGTGCCCCAGCTCTAAGCCAGGATCAGCCTCATCATCTTCGCCACTGGTTTGTCAAAACTGCTTTTAAAAGCCTCTGAAGCACAGGCCAGAACACAACACTGCAGTCACCCGTAACCTGCAGATGGGGACAGTCTCTGAGCCTATTACAGTTTTCTTCCATCTAGGTATTCTCCTGTAGAGTTCTTAAATGTAACTGAACTTGAGCTGTTCTTAAGCCATTGTTTTTTCTTCTGCTATTTAAGATCATTTTCCCCTGTCTCTGTTCCAAACATCTTAGAGAAATAGGTTTCTTAATTTAGGATGCTGCAGTTTCATTTATGTAGAGGAAAACACAGTGTGTTAGTGCACACAAACATGAGAATGGAAGTAGTATGAGTTCACCAGGATGAGTTTAAACATATATATTCAACATTTCAAACAGCAGTTACAAATTGTGTGAAACACTTCCTATTCTTCTTCAGGAGTACAAAAGTCTGGGAGTTTGCAAGCACAATTTAATGGTATTTTTTTTAATTTAAAAAGAAATTTCATGTTTCTGTTGATTTCTAATTCTCTTGCTGAATGGAATGCAGAAGAAGAAAGAAAATAAAAGGACTTCTCAGGAAATGCTTTGAGTCTTTAACACAGGCTTTGCAGTGGTTTCTTCCTCAATGAGGCACAAATGTGGTTGTGATTAATTTCCAGATGGGTATTGGTGGTCCTGTGAGCTGACTGGTGTTAACTGTGTGGCTGTTTCTGGATACACAGTGTCACAATGATCTGATTCATAAGACACGAGTGCATAGGTTGTGTTTGCATAATTGTAGCTGGAAATGTCACATCCATACAGATACATGAGGGGTTCAGAAGGATTCAGAAGCATCAAATTGGTTTATTCGCATGGCAGATACCCTCATGCCAAAGGAAAGCTGTTGTAAAGGGTGTTTTACCTTAGCTGCTACTGGAGGCAAGCAAATTCAAAGCTCAGGTCCATGGGAACCTGCTCTTTTGCTGCACAAACCCTGATATGCTTTTTGGGATTCTCTAGATGACAGTTTTACAGGAGAGGAAGCAATGCCCCAACAACCCTTCTGGTTCTCCTCCAGCAGAACAAATTTTCCTTTTTTCACTGTGGCCTTGAGCACTGTGACACAAAAATCTTGATGCTTATTTAGCAGAAGTTAATTATTAATGCTGGGTACAATAAACAGGGACTAACGGTATTTGTGTGAGAGCAGAGCACTCCATCCTTGCTCCAGCTGACTTGTTTACATTGTCCCAAGGAGCTGTTTAGAGCAGTATCCTTACAAGAAGCTGGACTCATTCTATTATTAACAGTATTAACTTGGAAGTGAAGTAAAACCAGGCTTTAAAAAATGCTTATGGGTGTTACTGTGTTTAAACGCTGCAATTTAAAAGTTGTTACAAAACCCAGAAGGCAGTATTTTGGAACTCTCTGTGGAACTCCTTCCCCAAGCTCGTTTTTGCCCCTCCCCCTGGAGGGACATACCTCCCCCTGGGACACTGATACTCCTCTACTCCTGATTTCTTGATTTTTCTGTTTTTTTTTATTAAACCAGACTGACTTTTCCTGCAATTCGTTGCAGCTGAAGGACCTGTATTTTGTTCTGGCCATGATTTAAAGGAACTGTCAAGTGAAGATGATGTGAAACATCATTCCCAAGTATTTGAAATGTGTGCAGAGGTAAGCAGTTCTTATGTACCACCCCTTTACCTGGTATCAAGAGCAAACAATGGTACTGGTTCAAGGAAGGCCAGCATTGCTTATCTGCTACCTAAAGCACAGGTGGTTGCTCCAGATTCCTTGCTTTTTGTTGCTCTGCCAGTTTAATATGTGATCCTGGTGAAATTATGAGAATTTCCTGGAGAAATCCAGAAATTTAAAGGGCTAGAATGCCAGAGTTCATGTCTCCTAAAATGGATACAGGCATGATGTGTTCCTCAGTTTAGCCAGTGTTCCTTGCAGCCTAGTATTTGAACAATGTGTTTCCTAGAAATCTAGGGATAACCGCCTTCAAACTACTTGTGATCAAGTGTTCTTTCCCAGCACCTAGCTACTAACCCTGGCAGCTCTGCCTGGGTTCCATCTTGGTATGCTTGTCACAGAGGTAAGTGCCAGTATGAATGAATTACAGGTTAGTCCCTTCATCAGGAGGGAGCCAAGGTCTGATATTTCAGCAGCCAATAGTTTATCATTAACTTTGCAGTTGCAGGGCAGAATACCAGCATGTTCTCAGTGCAGAACTGAACCATGCAGCTTCCTGGTCACAGAAGAGGAAAGATAAGGCAGAAAAAGTGTCAGACTTACTCTGTATAGTGTGCATCAAGAGCTGGTAAATTGCTCACTTTAAGGACTAAAAGGATTTAAATTCTCCTGTGTGTATATAAAGCACTGTGGCTGTATTAAGTATTAATGAGTAGTAGAACAAGCTTTGATAAATAAAGAAAAACAGAAAAATGTCAGAATGTCAGATTTAAAGTTTAAACCAAGCCTAGCTATCTTCTTGAGAATGGAGTTCTGTATAGTAAGTTTAGTATAACAATTTCAGATTAGTATTCTTGAGAGCATGAAATTCAGAGATTGGGAGATACTCAAAACCCAACTGGACACAGTCCTGGACAACCTGCTCTACTTGAGTTGAAGGGTTGGACTTGATGATCTTAAGAGGTCACTGCCAACCCAAATGCTTCTGTGAAGTTGGCAAAGCAAGTTCAGGAAGAAACTAAATGTAAGATATGAAATGGCATTTGAAGTGATCCCTTTTCTGATGTTCATGGTAGGAGTGAGTGCTTTAAACTCTCTACCTGGGTATCCTAAAGGAATTTAGGTTCCTCATAAATCACAGCTCACTATTATGACTGTGGAGGAAGAAGGCCTTACTGTTAAATAATGGCACTTATAGGCAACAGAAATAGAGAAATTAATTGAGGCTCTAGTGCAGTAGAACAATTAACTTTTGCTTTTGTGGTGGTCAATAGAGAAAGAAAGGTACTTCTGAGGGTTTCCAAAATGGGATTGTGTTTTCCTGGATTTCAGTACTTCAGTGGAATGGATCCCACCCAAATGACATGCCTGCAGCATTGTGGACAGGGGTCCAGAGCACACTGGACTGGTTTTCAGGAACCTCAGCTTCTACATCTCCTCTATGACAGTTAATCTTGAGCAGATCTCAGCTGCTCCCCCTCTGTTTCCCCATGCATACAGCTGTGTTTGCCATACTATATAATGCAGTATCTGAGAACTAAGAACTTGCCACATACAAGCTGGGGACAGTTGAGAATATCACATGTCCAGAAGCTTTTCAAATACACAGTCAGAAGTACCAGGCTGGGGAGTGTGTGTGTGTCAGAGAAGGTATTGACTTTGAGTTTTTGCAGCCACAAGGGTACTTTGTACTTGTTTGTCTGCACATGTGCACATACTGTTACTCTTCTGTTGTCTGCTTCTCAAGATCCACTGAAACTAAACAAAGACAGAAGAACAGAGACAAAGCCTGATCAAATTCAGAACCAAATATAGGTAATTTTACCTAAGCAACATAGAATTTGCTGTTTTCATCTTCATCTACTGGAGATACTGAAGTAGCAAATGAATATTTATCTTGCTACAGTGTGCTACCATGAGATTATTTTATTTTAATCCAGATAAGGACTGTAATCATTTAAGTAGCATTTTCAATCTTTAGGAATTAAAATTAGGTGAGTTTGTTGTTTCCCACTGTATGAAAGGGGAATCAGAGTTAGAAAAGTTAAAACAAATTCATCTTCCTTAACTTCAGCTGTCTGAAGTTGGATGTCCAGCCCTCAAGAATTATTTAAGAGAGAGAATGAGGCTTTTTTCCCTTCTTATGTCTAAATGCAAGCAGGAAAAATTGTTTGCTGTCACGTCTCTTCCTGGATTGAAGAGTAAGCCTAGAAAGACATCCAGTGATGGTGTTTGGGTGAGACCAACCCAGGCTCAAGATCATGCAGAAACCAACCAGAGGCTGGTTTAATTTCTTGTGATGAAGTCAGTTTTCCATTATAGGGCAAATGAAGGTGGGGATGGTGTGTCTGGGATTCACATCTTCTCACAGCCAGGAAAGCTGACCTGTGGTGCTGAGGTACCCAAGTTCCATGCAGATCTGATAACAAGTGTTTCTGCCTCTGATTCTTGGGTTTACCATTTCCACTGGAGTTAGCAGGACCAGCTCATGCTACGTAAACCCAGCAGATACTGCTACAGCAGTGGTCTAAAACTGCACACATCAAGTGTGTTTTAGAGCAGCCACCGTTTGAATTTCCAGGACTAACTGACCACTTTCTTTTGTGCATGCAGGTTATGACTTTAATCCAAAAACTTCCAGTACCAGTGATTGCCAAAGTGAACGGGTTGGCTACAGCAGCAGGCTGCCAGCTGGTGGCCAGCTGTGACATCGCAGTGGCAAGTGAGAAATCTCAGTTTGCTACTCCTGGGGTGAACATTGGACTGTTCTGCTCCACACCAGCTGTGGCCTTGGGCAGATCTATTCCAAGAAAGGTAGGCTTCCTTCCCAGATACTCTGTAATTTTGTAAGTAATGTTAGGAGGTTTAGTTCATAGAATCATAAAATGATTTGGGTTGGAAGGGACTTTAAAGCTCCTCCAGCTCCAACCCCTGCCACGGGCAGGGACACCTTCCACTAGAGCAGGGTGCTCCAAGACCCTGTGTCCAACCCGGCCTTGAACACTGCCAGGGATGGGGCAGCCACAGCTTCTCTGGGCACCCTGTGCCAGCACCTCAGCACCCTCACAGGGAAGAGCTTCTTCCAGACATCTAATTTAAATCTCTCCTCTGTCAGGTTAAAGCCATTGCCCCTTGTCCTGTCACTACATGCCCTTGTAAAAGCCCCTCTTCACCTTTCTTGTCAACCCCTTCTATGTACTGGAAGCTGCTCTAAGTTCTCCTTGGAGCCTTTTCTTCTCCAGGCTGAACAAGCCCAGCTCTCTCAGCCTGTCTCCACTCTGCAGGAACATCTCCACAGGAGATGTTCCATTGCCTGGACTTTATTTTGCTATAGTACAACGTTGAAAATACTTTGTTGCAAAAGACGTCTTTGTCTGGGACTGAGAAAAATCATAGATGGATGAACTCTGCTTAGGGAAAGCAGCTTCCTGCTGATACGATTCCAGCCATCATGAGCTCATCCCAGCAGCACAGCAGCTCAGCCATCCCTTTCCTTTCCAACACACAGCTCTGTGTTTTCGCCAGTGATGTTCTCCCCTGATGAGGAAAACCCCTGCAAGTTCAGGATATCCAATCCCACTGAGGTATCAACTCTTGCCAGGCAGTGACATTTCACTGCCAGCAGGAGCTGCCTGGGTGTAGATCAAGATGCTTTAAATAGCATCTAAAACCTTCCCATACTTTCCTCCTGCTTTATTTCCTACTGATTGTCACTTCAGATTTCTCACTGTATAAACAACAGTATGATGATCTGTAAAGCTTCTGTAACTTAGAAAAGACATTTTCAGTTCTAATGCAGTTGGATTCATGGGGACAGACTCTCCAAGCCCAGCAGGGCTCTGCTGAGATGCAGTGACTTAACTGCCCAACTTCAGTTGCTGGATAAGAGCTTCAACTTTAAATCTCCCATCAGTGAGGCTGTTCTGTTCACATATAGTCTGTCTGTGGGGTTTTGTTCCAAGTCTGCTGCAGTGAACAGTCATAACTGTTCCTGAATTGGTATTTCTGGGGTTTATTGTTACCTTTTTAAAACATGTGGTATATACTTTTCTCTGTGCCGCTTTTCAAAGGAGCAAGAACATTCCCCACAGTTCTCAGGATGATTGATTTTACCTTATAGAATCATAGAATAGTTAGGGTTGGGAAGGACCTTAAGATCATCTAGTTCCAACCCCCCTGCCATGGGCAAGGACACCTCCCACTAAGCCATGTATCAAATGAATGTGTAAATACCAGAGCAAAGATACCAACAAGGATCATCAGCTCTTACAATTCAGGGCATTGGGTAATTACATCAAGAGTATGACAAAACATTGTTAGTGATATACAAGATTGAGTAGTCACTGAGTATTTGGGGGACATCTTCATTCAAAACCTCAAGATGCTGGAAGCAGCAGGAGACTGAAATAGTTAATGGCTTTAAGAAGGACATATTTAAAACCAGCCCTAACCAACTTAAAACTAAGGCTGGTATTTTCAAAAGCTACACATTCACTTAATAAATCTTTACTTCTTATTATATGCCCAGCTTAAAATGCTGAGTTCATTAATTTCAGTTTATGAACCATCCACATCTCTCAATTCCTACTGCAATTATGGGCTTTTGAAAAGAAACCCAGAGGTGTTAGCCTAGGACAGTGGGAATCAGTGGGCAGGTCTGAAACAAGCCAGCTTTACACCCAGTCCTCTTTGCCGAAACCTCTTGACACTTCCTTGGCAGCTTAAAGAAGCCAAAAGATTTAAATCTTAAGTTTATCAAAAGAGTAACTTGTACTTGAAGGAGGAAGCTGAAGCTGCCCAAACAAACCAAAGCGATAAAGCAGTTGAACTGATGTAATACAATGTTTTGTCTTGTTCAGGTGGCATTAGAGATGCTTTTCACGGGTGAACCTCTTTCTGCCCAGGAAGCATTAATGCACGGGCTTGTCAGCAAGGTGGTACCAGAAGACAAGCTGGAAGAAGAGACCATGAAGATCTCTCACAAGATATGTGAAAGCAGCAAATCTGTCCTGGCCCTGGGGAAAGCCACCTTTTACAGACAGATGGCCCAGGACCTTGATACTGCTTACAAAATGACTATTCAGGTCATGGTAGACAATTTGACTTTGAGAGATGGGCAGGAAGGGATTGAAGCCTTTATTCAGAAACGTAAGCCTGTCTGGGCACACTCTCAGGATGAGAAGAAATGAGTCTTGTTTCTGAGCTAACCTTAGCTGTGCTTTATGATTCTTCGCGCAGTTGCCTTTGGAAACTCTATTTTTGTTCTTACTGAAAGTGAAATGCCTCTTCTTACATATGCCAAAGACACAATAAATTTATTCTAAGTATATAAAAAATATTAGGAAAAATCAAACACAATGGTTTTTTTTCAGCAATGAATTTAATCTATGATTTTAGAAGGAACTTCATGCTGGAAAAATCAGTTTAGCATGTCCCACGTTACTCAGGGAATCACAGGGACTGAGAGAGAGCCCAGATCACCCTGTTCAGTACCTGTCTCCATCACTCTGGAAGAAAATTGCCATTTACTGTTATTAATAGAGAATTAAATGGCTAGGACACATTCCAGATATGATGGTAATACATATCATGATGGATTCCAGTGCTGTTTAGATGTTACAGACAGAAGACTGTAACAGTAGCCCATTGATCCCTACAGATATATCTGCTTATGAACTGCAGTATCACTAGTTTGTCTCAATCAGCAAATCCTGGTTTTCCACCATCATCTCAGTCACTTATCCCAACTTCGGAGAATTTTGCTGTTGACTCCAGTGAGGCTGAGCATGGTTTAGGAGTGTTTAGCTTCACAAAGGGCACCCTGTGAAAGCCACTGCCTGTCAGCTTCAGCAGAGATTCTCACCTTGGCAGGAGTTTGACCCAGCTGTCATTTACAGGCTGTAAGTCTTCAGTTTATCACAGAATCTCAGATGTGTTAGTTGGAAAATCCATCCATGTGCTCAGAGCTGTGATTTTACTAACACCGGAGCAGCTCTACCACGGATTTTTGTTCTTGACAACAGGGATTCAGCTGCTCCTCTGGATAACCTGTTACAGTGCTGTGCAACCCTCCTTTTTTCTTAATGCCCAGTCTGAGCCTCAAAGCAGCAACTTTTTGGCCACTGCCCCTTGGTACATGGTGGCAGTGTGTTCCCCCCACCCAACCTGACCTTTATTTCCTGTATCCCTGCTCAAGTGATAACCAGTAGTGGTGCTCATAACGGGTGTGTCTGGTTGTGATGGCTGCATCTGGCTCAAAGTGGATTTGGGGAAACAGGTAACACCACAATGGCCAACGGTTAATCTGAGCAATGCACCCACCTGACTGCAGTGTTGGTAAATGTCCAACTCAAGCCAAATCTGGAAAAAACTAACTCCTGTAGTCAGCATGTGAATGTGACTATGAGTGAATTATTCTACTCCACAGATAGTGAATGGCACAGGTCCTGTGGAGCTCTCCTGCAGGGCAGTGGGCTGCATGCCAGGATCTCCCCTCTAGCAGGGACAGCTCAAGGTCTCTCCTTGAAATTGGGAGAATCCTCATCACATTGAATACTAAATAATTGATTTGAGAGAAAAAGCACTGAAAATCTGAAGTATCAATTACACTTATAAGTAATATAAAGGATTAATTGCACATTTATAATGCTTTAGTCATAAACTGTTGACCAAGTCTGGATCCAGCTGCACTTAGACTCCCCTCTGAGATTAGAAAGCAAGGGGGTCCTTCCTGAACCTCATGACTCAACAGGAGGGGCTCCCTGACTGTTTTGTCTCACCCTGCTCTCTATGCATTAAATAATCAAGTGTACCTGGCCATGAAATCTTGTTAAACCACTGCTGCATTTACTATCAAATGTTGTTAAATTGCTGGTTTATATCAATAAAATACATTGCTGCTTCTCTGTGACGAGTGAAGTGCTTCCCTCCATCCACAACATACGTTATCTGCCATCACTGAGAAACTGCAGCTCCATTATCTCTGTAATTGTTTTCATGCAGTCACAAGCTACAGTTAGACCAGACTTGTACCCTCCTGTGCCAGACTGAACACATGGAACTTCCTCCAGTCTCCTTGTAGGTCATGTCCTCTAGGTAACCAGCTTGGTAACTCTCCAGTGGACCAGTTCCAACTTCTCCACATTCCTTTTGTACTGGTTGTGCCAAAACTGGACTGTATTCCAAATAATGGCTTCACCAGTACCGAGCAGAGGAGAACAAAGTGTTTCTTCCATCTGCTGGCCACTTCCAGCCAGTCTAAACTGCTCAGTGCTCATCACTTGTGGTGAGAGTGCATTGTTGGCTCCTGTTCAGTTGGGCATCCACCTGCTGTTAAGCCTGGTTTCAGCAGGACTGCTGCTCTGCCAGCCGCTTCCCAGCCTGTACTGGCCCTTGGGGTTATTCCTCCCCAGGAGCAGCAACTTTCATTTCCCCTTAGATTATGGTTCTTGTGGATTGAAGTCAGACCACTTGGTACATCAGCCATTCCCTCAGTTTCACATCATCTGCAAATGAGCTGAGGATGTATTATTGATGATGATCCTGAATGGTAGGAGCCTCAGTATCAACCCATGGTGATCAACATGGGATGGCCTCTCAGCATTTATTCTGAAGTTCCATATAGCAAGATTATGAAGGCTCATCCATTTCATATTTAAATAGGCATCTAAGAAAGGTGAATCACGCTATGGATGGGCCCTTTTTCCTTTGTTGACAGCCAAAATAGCCTGAAGTGTTTAGCTCAGGCTTAGTGTCTGAAGTTAGATCAGATACATCCTACCAACAGCTACTAAAATTCCAAATGTGGAAGTAGCATGAATCAAAAAGGATTTTGTTTAAGGTATGTGTGCTCCTGCATCCTTGGGTCCCTGTGTGTATGAGTGTTAGTTCACTCCTCAGTCCTCCCCTGGAGCGGCAGATACTCAATAAAGTCCTGGGACAGTTCTCTCCCTTTCAGCTTAGATCTAAGGAAGAAGTTCTTTACTGCGAGGGTGCTGAGGCACTGGAACAGGCTGTCCAGAGAGGTGGTAAATGCTCCATCCCTGGCAGTGTTCAAGGCCAGGGTGGACAGGGTTTGGCCAAAATGGTCTAGTGTCAAGTGTCCCTGCCCATGGCAGGGGTTGGGTTAGGGTTAGGGTTAGGACCTTTCCAACCCAAACCATTCTATGATTCTCCAAGGATCCATTACTCCTGAACAGCTGTGGATCAGTCCACATCAGCTTTGGCTTATTCAGCCCTTCATGGTGCCCTGATAGTCTCCCTGTAGGCTTTGCCTAATGCTGCTGAGCATCCTCAGCAGTGCTAAAACCCACCCTGCTGCAGGTCTGCCTGTTACTGCAGGTACTTTGAACTGAAAAACTGCTGCAGTGCAAAGTTACCCCGTTTCTCTTTGGTTCTTTGGACCATGATGGTGCTGTATGGAAGCAGAGGAAGCCCAGGCCCAGTGCTGTGCACTGCAGTTGTTGCAGGTCTACTTCAGAGCAACCTGTGCATGAAGCCACCTTGCAAAGGGTGGTGATGGCAGTGCCAACCTTGTGTGTTGTCCCCCTGTTATGAGAGGTGGTCTCATGGTTCAGGCAGTCTGCTTCTGACATAGTAACCATGGGCTGTACTCTACCAGGTGCACTGCTGGGCTCAAGGCATTGAATGGCTCTTTGCTTCCCGAGTAGTGGAATTGTTATTCCTTATACTGGAGTAAGACCTGGACAACTTGGAGTAAAAATCAACCTCTTTCCTTTCTAACTGCCCCACACAGTTTCATTCAAACCAGTGATATAAATACTCCTATTATATATACATATACAGCCCCACAAAGCAAGTCTCTTTCCATCTGTGATGGAAATGAAAAAGGATGAAAAGGGCAACAGTCAGTTCTGCTGCTATGTTTAATTTGAGGAATGGAAACTTAAACTTGAATTCACCCTTGAACACAGTTTGTTTCTATAGGAATGTGAAAAATGTGGATCATTTGGAATAATTGTTTTAAAAATACGAACGTTTATTGTTGCCACTAGGAAAGATGGGGAAGTTTTATATAAACTCACATAGTCTTTGTAGGTTAGGAACTATTAGGAGCATTTAAGAGATAGAAGGGTTAAATCTGGAGCTCAATAACCTTCATCATGTCCTTTTTTAATGCAGTAAGATGCTGCACTTAGCCTCTGTTCCCACATGCTGCTCTAAAAGCATTAGGAAAGAGTAAATTGTTTTTAAAAATATTTATATTTAATGGCTATTTTGTAACTACTCAGCAAATCTCTACTGGCTTTTTTTGTTCCAGGCTTTTAGAAATAAGCACATTATCTGATTTTTGCAGAACAAGGCTCTTTCCAACTAACAGCAGTAATCAAATGGTGTCACTGGCCAAATTAAAACATGAGGGATAGTTTAGATGAGAATATTCTCTTAAGTATTTTGAAATACTCCTTCTGCAATTGCCACCTACATAAGATGGGGTTTGCCATTGTTATTAACTGGTGGTTATAATTTTTGAAGAAAAAAGCCCTGTATTTTGAAAGAATAATTACTTCATTTGAAATAGTTACACTGCAATGGGATTGAATTCTGGTCATCTTATTCCTGTGCATGGAATTCCTTGAACTTGAATGGTGTCATAAGTTACTAGTAGTTCAAGGACATAGAGGTCTTTGCTGGGGAGGGACTCTTCATCAGGGACTGTAGCGATAGGACAAGGGGTGATGGGTTCAAACTGAAACAGGGGAAGCTCAGGTTAGATATAAGGAAGCAATTCTTCCCTGTGAGGGTGGTGAGGCACTGGAATCATAGAATCATAGAATAGTTAGGGTTAGAAAGGACCTTAAGATCATCTAGTTCCAATCCCCCTGCCATGGGCAGGGACACCTCACACTAAATGGAATGGGTTGCCCAAGGAAGCTGTGGCTGCCCCATCCCTGGCAGTGTTCAAGGCCAGGTTGGACACAGGGGCTTGGAGCAAGCTGCTCTAGTGGCAGGTGTCCCTGCCCATGGCAGGGGTTGTGGAATGCCCCATCCCTGGCCCTTAGTGTTTTTCTACAAAGAACAGGCACTGTGGCAGTGGAGGCACGGACACTGTTTCTGGTTACAAACGAAATCCTTTATTGAGTGAAATTACAGGCTTTTATAGTATTCTGACTAGCAGTTAGTAGCAGGTAGCTCCTATGGTACTTTTCCATCTCGACACGATCATGAGCTCTCTCAGCCAATCACCTTACTGTCCACGTGCCTTTGCTTAAGCAATTATTTCTAAACACAGCTCTCTGTTATCACTATCCCTACTTGTTACATCTTTGTTTCACTTCCCCTTGACCCCACAGTCATTACCTTGTCTTGAGCATCCTTCTATTCCCAGTTTATAGTCCTCAGAGATTATCTTGCTCCTTCTTCAGTTCCACTCGATGTTCCATCTCCGGTTCCTCACGACTTCTTCCGTTCACTTCTTCCAAGGTTTGTGGCTGGTAAGAGTCCAGATGTCCGGGCTCTTGTCCAGGACCACTGGTGCAGCTTCTTGTGCAGCATTCCCCACAAGGCACATCTTAGCAAGACAAAATGGTGATGGGAGGGGAAGTTAACCATCAAAAATGGTGTTCTGGTTTTTCATATGATAGGCAGAAGGTAGGAACTTTACCTTATCCTTGGCTTTCCCTGTAAAAGACCAAGCTCCTTCACAGTTCAAATCCATGGAAGCTGAGGAAGTATGGAGCTCTGGACAACTTGAGTTCAGATCTTTGAGGACACTGCTTCTCTAGGCTCGTGGTCTTTCAGTCTTCTTCATGGGTATGACAAATGTTTGTGTTGTCTTCAAATCTTGAAGAGAAAAAAATATTTGTAAGCATGTTTTAATGGAGTTTTCACAGTACTTGTTTGTACTATTTCATGCAATAAAGTAATTGTGCAATTAATAATCATCAGTTCCAAAAAGGGTGGCATCCACAGGAACACTCCATAGAGTCATAGAATGGTTTGGGTTGGAAGGGGTCTTGAAGCTCATCCAGTTCCAACCCCCTGCCATTGACAGGCACACCTTCCACTAACCCAGGTTAGTGATCTGGTCCTGCCTGTTGAACCACTAGACACAAAAACTTCAGGTTTCGCAACATTCCTGCACTGGCCCCTGTAGATTGACTAAGCAATATAATTTTTCATTTCTGCCTTTATTGTTTAATTTAATGGATTTACAGTTATTCCTGCAAAACAGACTGGATCCAGTATTGTTAATTAAATTCTACAGCGAAGAAATAGCAAGCCAAATGATGGACTGGGAGCTTTTACTGCTGTAGCTATCTGCTGCCTTCAGAGAAGGTTTGTTCCGAAATAGCGAGGAGCCTATCCCTTGTTCCCCTGTTCATTTTTATCAAGGAATCTGCTGTGCAGCAATGTCTGACAGGTAACTAGCCCAGTTTCAGGTGACCTTGAGCATGTGGCATATACACAGCCTTGCCTGGAAACTAAGTATAGCTCCATCTGAATACAACCTTTTGGATGCAGCTTATCCCTGCAAGTGACAGGGACATGTTTTCTGCCCATATACACAGAAACAGCTGGAACAAAAACTGATTGAGAAAATGCAAGCAAGGGATTGCTGGTGTGAATGTAATGAATGATCCAGCCACTGACCTGAGAGTCCATGGAGGCCTTAGAAGACTGGCTTTGAGTCTTCACCTGGAAATTTCAGACAAGATCTATAGGCAAAATCTGGAGTATACGATTATATCCCCATCCCTGGCAGTGTTCAAGGCCAGGTTGGAAGGGACTTGGAACAACCTGCTCTAGTGGAAGGTGTCCCTGACTGTGGCAGGGGGTTGGAACTAGATGAGCTCTAAAGTCCCTTTCAGCCCAAAGCATTTGGTGATTCTGTGATGCCGTATCACTCGTGGTACAGCTTCAGGCTCCCCTCATGAACAAGGTAAAAAAAAAGCCAGGGTGCAGCAACAGCCAGATAAACACTCAGCACAAGTTTGCTCCTCCTTCATGGACCAGGCAACAATCTGCCTCACCATATCATTTAGGATGTATAAGCTGAAGATGAAGGACTTGGGTGATAGGCAAGGTATTTTGACCTTCCACATTCCACAGAGGCAAAGAACCAAATGGGAATTTATATAAGCTTTTATATAAACTTCATGTGTTTTTCTCAAGGCCTCCCAGCCTAGAATTAGGCAGACTGGGTGAGAATTTATTTTGTGTTGGTGTGAAGTAATCTCCTGTGTCTGTGGAGAAGAGAGCTTGAAAATATGTACTACAAAGGCACAAAGAGCTGGATGTAGTTAACATTAAAAATATATGACTAACTCACTGGCAAAACAGCATCACAGTTTTTACCATCTAGCTCCTGATTCCTGAGCATTTGGATGGCAATGCTGTGTCCTTCACGGAATTGTTGCTGGGTAACTCCTAGATGGTCACGCCTGTATTGCAGATGGGGAAATTGAGGCCAAAGCTGCTCTGCCTGAGGTCTCAGGGTGACAGTGGCATTCAGAATGCCAACACCTGCTCCTTGCACTGCTTCAGCAACTAAGTTTTCAGTAAAATCAGCAGAAATGCAGGATGATGGCATGCCCTGGAGAGACTGCAAAGGCTTCTGAACAGGAATTATGAGCTACTGCATCAAAGGCCCCACACTTGACATTTATTGGCTTTTTGATGAATGCTGGGGTAATTCTCCTGTCAACAGTCTCTCATTAGGAGCCTGGCAATGTTCTTTCTGACCATTATCTTGCTCAATATCACATTGGGTTGCTACAAAGAGCAGAGATTTTATGTACAACCCATCTATCTCTGTAGCTGCAAAACCTTCCAATCATTCTACATTTAAATAATCTCATGGAAATGTGGCTGCCTTCTTGAAGCAATCAGGGGAATAAACAAATGGTTAAATTTCCATGTGGACCTAAAGCTGTAGGACAAATCTCATACTGCAATGAGTAGGATTCATTTGTCTTGATTTCACTGGTACTGCACCTCAATTATACTATTCCTGAATTTAGCCACCAAATAACACATCCACATCCTGTTGTAGGCTTCCAAAGAAGGGAAAACCCATCAAAGCTGTACCTTTCTGTTTCTTCACTTGTAGGATATACCATCTCCTGGTTGCTTGTTGTCAATATTAGGAGTTATTTTTGTCAAACCCATAGCTTTTATAAAAATCAAATAGTATAAATATACCCTTAATACCACTGTGGATTTGGAAAAGCTAAAATCATTCATTAAATTTTGATGTGGCCAATGGTATTTTCATGATATGAACTTAAAGAAGTTAATACTTATTTTAATATTAGCATCCTGGAGCTGTGATCATGGGAGCATCCCAGGGGTATTGTATATTTTATTGATTATGTTCATAATAGAAACAAAATCAAAACCAAAACCATATGATAAAATAACAAGTTGAATTTGTACTGCTAAAATCTCAGCCAGATTCCTGGGCTGGATTCATGGCTGTTGTTCATAGCTACTTACCACAAGAGACTTTCATTTTCCCTCCTTAGGTAAGACAGTATTTTCAGCCTGCTGAAACCAAAACTTGTCATGCTGTGAAGTTAACTGAGAAACATTCCTGTAGCCTAGACTGAAACAGAGCCAACTCTTTACACTAACTTTAACTGCAGCACAAGCTCACCTGTTGGACTTGATATGGATATAGGTATTGATCTCATCCACTGATCCTGCTGAAGGCAAGCCAACTCCTGGAAAGGCAGGGCAGGGCTGGATGGCAACGTTTTAGACTATCTGCAACCTGGCTCATTAGGGCTGTATGTCAGGGAGGTCTGATGTAATGGGTCATGTCTAACCATAGGCTGCTTTCTGAAGAAGTTTTTAAGGACAAATCAACTGCAATAAGAGAATGCTGACATTCAGGCTGCCTCAGCTGCTGATGACAGAGGAGGTGTTAGTGGCACTTGGGTTTTATTCCAGACCTGTCCTCCTATAAACAATTACAGGGGATGAAATCATTTTTGGAAAGATGAGCGATTATTTCCCTGTCAGCTCTGCCCTGTCAGCCTCAAGGATAATGTGATATATACCTGCTCTGCTCTTCTCCACTTCCTGGCCCCAAATCAGTCTCAGTGTAGACACAGAGTGATGCTTCTGGAAAGGAACAATAAAGAATTATTTAAACATATATAGAACATGGGGGAAAGGAGAAAGCAAATGAATACATGAAGTCATTCTCCTAATGTGGTCTTTAGTCTAGATAAGGATATTTTTTGCACCTATTTAATGAAATATACCCTTCATGCCATTAAAATTTTATCATCTGTTCTTTAACAGAGTTCATCCCATAACAAAAATCTCTGTTCTAAGTGTTAGGATATTGTATAAATACAGACTTCTGCATCAGCCTCCCTTCTCTTTCAAGACTCCACTAGATTAGGTTAAAATACTTTATAGTGTGCTTTTTCTTGTTTTTTTTTTTTTGTTTTTTTGCTTCTAAGTCCTTAGTGTGAAGTCAGAATTCTTTGTTGTTTTTTTTTCCCTCCTTGGGGATTATTTGTTTTGTGAATGCTGAGATTCTTATGTAAGTACATACAAATCCAGAAAGCTTTACAAAATACCACATACCATAGAATCATGGAATCATAGAATGGTTTGAGTTGGAAAGGACCTTAAGGTCATCCAGTTCCAACCCCCTGTCATAGGCAGGGACACCTCACACTAGACTGTGTCACCCAAGGCTCTGTATAACCTGGCTTTGAACACTGCCAGGGATGAAGCATTTACCCCTTCTCTGTGCAATCTAACTGGTATCACTACCGGACTGGGGGAAAGCATCAGGTTTTAATGCAAAACCTGTAAGAAATGAGATTTAATAGATGAAAGAGCAGGGTAATGAGAATGTTTGGTTCTCTGACAAAAGGCGCTGCTGGAGGAATACAAAGGTGCTCTCCGGAGTGGCTATTCAGAGGACTGGAAAACGGACCTATTTACCCCTTTTTCATTGGGACCAGCAAGAATATTCCTGCAAGGATAATCAGCCCCTTATTCATTAGCCTGAGGTTATTACCAATTATCAATATTATTACTTACTGTTGCTGTTATTCTTGCTATAACTTATTTGATGGCTTGGCTTCGTGAGCAAAGGTTTAGGAAGGGCTTTACCCATACTTACTACAAGCACAGTGACCAAGGGCATGTGGGATAGGCAAATCTGTTTGGAAAAAGGCTGCTTAGGCAATCAGGAATTTTCTGACCAGGACTGACCTCTCCTGAGGCAATCTTGAGTGACCAAAGTCCTGATCTGCCTACATGCAAGGTTGGATCTGCAGCTTCCAATGCACCTTGTCACCTGCCGTTTTGACCCTCGCCTGTCCATACAGACAAGTGAGAGTAAACCCCTCCAGCCTGTGCAGTGGATTTTTTAGGTGAGGCGCAGCGTGCGCAGAACTGGCCCATCCTTTACACCTGAGATTTAACTGCCACAGCCTAGTTAGCTAGGATGGTGACAGCAAAGTCCACAGGTCATAGGTTTTGTAAGAGTGTCCTTGTCTTAGATGGAAGACCTATTTAATACAGTGACATCACTACAGTTCAGGAATTAAAATTTTGATGCCTTCCCCCCAGAGCTGGGCTTGGAAACTGGTCTGAATCCCTGAAATCTGAAGCTTCTGCTGCTTGAACAGGGGAATAGCATTTATCTGGTGGCAAGGACTTGTCCTTTTACACAGCCTGTGAAAAGACACTTAGTACTTCCCATGTACTCAGCATGGTAAAACGGAAGTTGTCAAAGATAAAGTCTTTTTGTTTGCTGTCTGTGGATATTCCCATAAGTCTTTTTCAACAGGAGCATTTATTCAGAGCAAATGATCCGGGAATATTTCCATGGACAGCTTGAAATCTTCATGAGGCACTGGATGGTTGCAATGCAACATCAATTTATTCAGCACACACAGTTACCAAAGTAGCAAAATGCAAACAGTAAATTTACCTCAGCAAAAGTCCTGGTAAAGAGCTCAGTAGCACATAGGCTAAAAAAAACCCTGCTAAACTGTCCTAGACTTTTCTGTCCATCCATCACTATACTATTTAAATGCATTCCTATAATGAATTCATATATATATATATATATATATACATAAAATTCCTATAATGAATATAAAGTCCTATAAGGGCATGAGGATGGTGAGACACTGGCATAGGTTGCTCAGAGAAGCTGTAGATGTGCCATCCCTGGAGGTGTTCAAGGCCAGGTTGGATGGGGCTTTGATAAGGACCCTTCTGACCCAAAACTTTCTATGATTCTGTGATATGATTCTATCAGCCATTTTTTAGTTCTGAAATGTAAACCAGAGGGAAAATAGTTTAAAAACATGAGAGAAACCAAACCTGGATTCCCTACCCAGCTTTCTCACAAAACTCCAGTGTGACCTTGGGTGAGCTGATGGAGGCAGAAAAGTAACATGACTGTGCAGTCCAACCTCCTACTTATCATAGGTCATTTCTTCTTGGCCTGCTTACCCCTATAAGGCATCGGACTGAATTGCTAAGGAATTATCTAACCTTGTGAAGAAAAAGAAGAAGGAGAAGAAGGTGCCAACAGTGTGATCCATTTCTCTTGCAGTCAGAACTTGCAGCTTATTTTTGGTTTGAATTCATCTGACTACAGCTTCCAGGCAGGGCAATAGAGCTGCCTTTTGTGGGCTCAGCTAGATCCTTCAGTAGCTCAGTAGCCTATATGTGAAATGGAGCTGATTGCTGCCTTTTTTTCACTGTCCTTTATCTGTCTTGTGTCTGTAGACCACAGGACCCCCCAGGGGAAAACTGGCTCTCGCTATGTGTACACTCAGTCCCTTGCACAACAGCTTAGACTGGGCTCATCTCTGATGTGGAATGCTTGATATGTAGCATATAAGTTACAACATTGAGAAAGGACACTAAAAAAATCAAGCAATAAACCCCGAAAATCTCTGTCTGATGGAGATTTACTACAGATCTTCAGAAATCCTTGTTGCCTTACTACACAACATACTTCATTTTAAACCGACGGCACTATGTAGCAAACTGTCAGCAGAGGGCAATATCAGATCGCATCTTGAAGCAATTCCTGGTTAATGTGATTGGCCAGTTCCTTGGTTTTCTCCACATTATCCCTCAGGGAATGGTTTAATGAGGCTGCTCTCTGAACAGCATGTGTGAGAAAGTGCTTTTGAAGTCATGCAAGTCGTGGGTCTAAAGTCTCTTCTCCCTTTCCTTGAAGACCCAAGAGTCTTTGCATCCTCACTGATTACGTTGGAGGACCAGTTGCAATCCAGTTTTCAAGACAGGTGGCTTGGTACCAGTCCCTAGGAAGATCTTGGAAGCAAGAGGAGACCCTGTTCTGCTTTAAGAAATACACCTGTAAGATATACAGATGTGTTTTGGGACCTGGACCATTCAGCGGAGCACAGTTTGCGAAAGCCTGGCTAGTCTGGCTTCCCTAGGGAAATTTATTTATAGATCCAAATGAGTTTGTGTAGATAGGTAAGAGGTCCTGGAGAGAACAAGGGATTCCAAAAGACCTTCCAGGATCCTGGATCAGCAAGCTGGATAGAAGAGGTGAGCAGAGTGTGACAGTTATGCCTTCATGCCTCAGATTTTCAGGAATAGGTAGCAATCCAGAGGAAAGGTGTCCCAGCCAGAGTTCAGCCCACCAGGATCACAGTATCACCCTTTCCATCCTCCTTAAGTGGTGAACTTTTCTCTCCATGACTCAGTTTCCCCATCTGTAAAGGAAGTTACAAAGTTTTCTGTGACATACTAAAAGCAGTGAAAGATAAAAACTCATCAGCTGTGCTACTCACAAGCTGGTGATGAACTAATGTGCTTGTCACACTGCTGGCTATATAGAGAAGAAAACTGCTGAAGGTGTTAGTCCAGAGTGACTGTAGATGCCAAGGCACAAGACGAACTGTTGAGAGTCCTCACCCAACAGAAACAATGTTCCAACTGTAATGCAGACAGCCTGCTGAGTCATTCCATCCCCCAGGGCAGGTGAACACTTTGCAAGAGTCTGCAATGGTAATCATTAGACTATTGTAAATATTAAAGAATACAAATGCCATGTGTCTCCTTATCTGAGCTTCAGCTTTATGCCTGGCTTCACTAAGAGTAAGGAAGTGTGACCACCTGCAATGATACCATAAATAATACTTAGAATCTCAGGGCTCACTGATTATCAGCCTGAATTAACCATTCTCCCCCAGTTTCCAAAAGAATGGGGAGTGATTACATTGTTCAAAGCCACTATGGTGAAGGAAGCCAAGAGAAGCTGTGGCTGCCCCATCCCTGGCAGTGTTCAAGGCCAGTTTGGAGCTTGGAGCAATCTGCTCTAGTGGAAGGTGTCCCTGCCCGTGGCAGGGGGTTGGAACTGGATGAGTTTTAAGGTCCCTTCAACCCAAACCAGTCTGAGATTTTATGATTCTAAGCCTGTAACTTCAAACATAAAACCAGGCAGGATACCGGGCTGTGCTGAAGCTGCAGAGGAATTCACACAAACAACATTCAATGACCAGCTCTGGAATGCAACGAACCCAGGTAGGTCAACAAGCACAAGATAAATGTGCAAGGTGACAAGTGGGGTACAGCCCAGGCTAAACCTCCAGCAGTCCATGGTAATGGGGTAGAGGTTATGTCAGCTTTGTGTCTGGCAGCTTCTGCACAGCTCTCACCAGCACACTGAGTAGAAGATGTAATCTAACCGCTTTTACTCCAAAGGCTCTACTCAGACCACAGCCACCCCTGTCAGTCAGGATTCAATGCCTTCTCCACTGGACAACATTTGGTCCTGTTGTACAATCAGGCTCCTGCAAAGCTGAGACAGACGTGATCTGTGCCCTCTGTTTCATTTTCTTCTCTGCCACTCTGGATCTCTCTCTGACTCACAGAAGCCATTTCAGACCATGGCCATCTGTAACCACAGAATTTGAGGCACCACCAGTAATAAAACTAAAAGCAAGCAGTTGAAACTTGGAAACAAAAAGCAAATGTCACCTCAGGCTGATAAGCAGCTCTAATAACAGACCTGGCAAGACAGTACTTTAAGCCAAAGGAATAGTTTTGCAACCTTTTTCTTCAAAGAAGCTAAAATATTTCGTTTAGGGAAAAGGACTGAACATCAGTTTCAAGCAAAGTTATGTTTTTTTTTTTCTTAATTAAAAACTTACATCTTAAAGGATTTACACAAAAGTTTATGTAAGCATTTCCATGTAGATGAAGAAGGAAACAACATTCATTATGTGAGCAAAGAGTTCCTGTTAAGGTGGTTGCATAGAGGATACAAAAATAACTGGGAACATAAGCACATAGGGGATGCTCAGGTGCTAATGAGACTGCTCAGGGCTGATTCAGAGCTGCGCTGCAGGCATTCCATGACAGCTCTTCCAGGAGATGTCCCCAGCAGCCATGAGTCAGGTCCCTGCCTCTGTGTCAGTCCTGCAGGAAACTCCCTACAAAAGAGCTGGCAGGTATGTCCTTAAAGGCAAAGGAACCAGGGTCTTCCCATGCTTTAGCTCTTCCAAGTGCAAGACAGATCGAGGAGGAAGCCTGAGGTGAGCACAGACAAAATCAGCCTGAGAAGTGCACACCGGCCAAGCAGAACCCATCTGCATTGTAAAGATACAATAGATGGCTGCAGGCCAGTTTTTTTCCTGTTGGTCCTTGAATTGATGATGGCTCTGACACTCTTGTGATCTTGAACACAAGCCTAGAGGACAGGCTCCTTACTGCCTGAATTGAAATCCTGCCCTCTGTTACCCAAGGCAAAGTTAATGACTGTAATTTATTGAAAGGCCTGTAATGATTTGTTAAATGATGTTGAAAACCTAGTTTCATGAAAACAAGTTACAAAGTGTCCCAACAACAAAAGATTTGCACTTTACTTCATTTTAAAGTCCTTTTATTTCCCTTAAAGCCTTTAATTATCAGTTACAAGTCATTCCTCACTTCTTTTGGGCCAAGAACAATGCATTAACTATATATATTTGTATCTATCTACCATGCACACGCAGGTGCCCTGTACCATACTGGTTGTTGATGCCCCAAATGCAACTGAGTAATGGTTTCCTTCACATCATTTGCACTCCACAGACTTCAAGAACAGCACCTACAGCAGAGTTTGCATGGAAAGCTATAAGCAATCTGACTGCAAATCACCTCTCTCTTCACTATCTTCCTCTAGCAATGTGAAGCAGTGAAGCTTCAGTGAAGCAGGGCCCTTCCTTGTGAGAACCAGAAAAATCCACTGGCATTACCTTCCAAGAGGCAGGGCTGGCAAGAGAGGAAGGGATTAGTGCACAGGCAATCTCATCTGTACTGATGTTATTCATAAAACAATTCTACAGCTATTCAAGCATAACTCAATATTGAAGACTGGCAATGTTACTTTGGTATTTAGCATTTGCAAGAGCCCCTGTATGACTGGAACTCAAAAAGGCCTCCAGCATTCAAACCATTTTCTTCTGTTCCCAGGGTCATATTCTCTCACTGCAAATCCCCTGATATCCAGGGGATGGGTCCCCAGCCAAAAATGATATCCAAGCCCAGAGCTAATTGTCTAAGTTCCTTCTGTAGTTATAAAGAGAAACAAATGCTTCAAAAGATCAAAACACCCAAAAATATGGGGAGGTAGGAGCTGCCTGGTAGGGAATTGATGTCTCTGAGCACCTGATTTTCTCCAGGGAACTCCCTGGGAACTGAAGTCTGACACAGTGCCCTAAGCATAGGAATATTTTCAGGAGTAGAACAGGGCCATTGTTTTCCTCTTGAAACCCACAGAAGATTTGAAAATTAACTTTTAAAATCTTATTCTACACTTCTACATAGTGACTTTGCACTTATTTAAGGGCTTGAATATTGTTCTCATCTTGATACAAGCCTTTTTTGATATACCCTTGGTTTTTAAGTAGGGAATGCCTCACCTGTTCCAGTTTTAGAGGTGCACGTGATAGCAGTGTCCTAACCTTAGAAACTGAAGTGTTAGTGCAAGATCTAGTACTACCTGTCACACTACTTTCATGTGTCTTTGCACAGCATAAAGAGGAAAAGAGAGGAAAGGGGCGGGGGTAGAGGGGGGAAGAAAGAGCAACAAATGTGCTTTCATTCTTCATTTTTAAGGGTGAGATTTCCCTTTTATGGAGACATCTCTCAACTTGTTTACTATGGGAGCATGAAGTCTTATACCTTCTTGCAGCAAGAGAACAAAGTATTCTGTAGAAAAGCCAGCTCTTTGCTGCCACTGCCAGCCACATGCAAGTACAAAGTTACAAAGCACTCACTTAAATGAAGTGCATACTTCATTAAACAATTAGGCAATAAGGCAGAACAAAGGCTGTGGTTTCCAGGCCTTGTTCTGTAATTGTATCCTCCCCCATTAGGATAAGTAATGCTGGTTGCAATTTAGGATTATCCTCTAATGGCCTTGTCCTGTGGGATTAGTGGATTGCCACAATGGGGAATTCTTTTATCTGTCGATGGCAATGTAAAATACATGATTTGTGTAGGTTTAGAGGTGAGGATTTTCATCCCTCTTTCCTCCTTTCATTTGTGACACCGTGATTAGAAGCTTTTATCTTTGCTTTTGCTTTCTGAACCATGAAGGTTATAAACCAGCCCAGTTTCTGTAAAGGTCCAGCACACAGAAACCCAGTCTGTAACTAAATATCACTGAGTCTCCCCAAACACATTGTAGACACGCTGAGCCCCAGTGACACTGAGGATGGGAAATGGGTAAGTTACTATGTTGAATGAGGTTGTGTTTGTGCTGGGATTCTCCACCTCATACAGCAGGTGCAGCTGGTGAACTTTCAGGTGAAACTAGGAGGCACCTACGGAGATAAGGCAGATGCAGGATTAGATGGCTGGTAAACAGAGATTGCAGATGAAATTTAAATGTCTAAAGTCCACCTACAGTCTGCTAAACGCCTTTCCTGATCTAATATTCAGCTCCTAATGAAATTACCAGTTTTTGTTCCACTGTCTTGAAGTTGACCCTGGACAGAGCCCACAGCCCTATCAGAATCTCCTCAACAGTTACAGAACATCCTGGATTCCAGCAGCAATTCCTTCCCTCAAACATGATATACAAGGAATCTCTCCATGCTCTTCTCCACAAACCATTCAGTTCTGCTGAAACAGAACATACAACTCAAATGCAAAATACAGCTCACTGTATGACAGGACACCCTGTCCTTGGGAACTGGATTTAAGACCATATCATGGGCCAACAGGAGACCATTAGAAGAACTAACTTACAGTTCTAACAGGAATCAAACTAGAAATTAAAACAAGAAAAGAAAAGAAATAAAGAAAAAGAAGGAAAAGGAAAAGAAGAAGAAGGAAAAGGAAAAGAAGAAAAAGTAAAAGACCCAAACCCTAAAAAGCCATAACACTTTAAAAAAGATAAGTTTATTTCTGAGTACATATATTTTATGCTTTCTTAGAACTTTCTATATTTTCTACTCACACTCCTCCCCTTTGGAAAGAATATTTATTATATTAAATATTATATATACTTATTAAATTAATATTTAATTCAATTCAGTGATACACGTCTCCACTCCCCACAGTAAAATAAGTTGCACTCATTTCAAACTCACTGACACTGGAATATAACACTCATTGGGATGCATGGGAGAACAAACTACTATTAAATGTCAGAAAATATGTGTTTTAAATAGTAGAAGCCAAGGAACAGCTATTTGGAATACTTTTGTATTGCATTAATGCTACAGGAGCCTGCTAAAATTGGGCCACTTTCAATCAGACACTGCAAAACCAGCAGAAGGCCATCCCACTCCTCTCTCTTACTCTAAGAGTAGGATCTGCTGAAGGAAAAGATGAAGGTCTAGATACAAGAAAGGATTTAAGAGGCAAACCTAGAATTTAAGTGAAACAGATACTGAATGCCAAAAGTACACCTTAGCTCCTCTTCCTCTCCCCGCAGCTGAACTGCAGAAAATCCCTGCAATCAGCACAACCCATTAGGTAACTACTTCCTCTGCAGATTTTTCCTCACACCTGAAAATCTTGTCTCACCAGTGAGGTACACTAACATCAGAAGTAAGGAGATAAGAGAAATTAGGTCCAACTTAATAGACAGCTCACTAATATGCCCAGGAGATTAGGCTCTGGAGCCAGCAGCAAGAAAGAGGGACATGGCTTGATGTGGAGAGAGAGGGCAGTAGGAAGCCACCAAGGCAACATGGAGAGTTCTGGCAATAGAGAGTAGGTCAAGAAGCACTGACGGGGTGGGGATGATTGTGGAGGAAGCAGAAGGAATGGCTTGGAAGCACTGAGATGGCCTCAGCAATGCAGGAAGGAGATAAGGTACTGAAGAGAGAATGGAGCAGGGGGTAATCAGGGTATCCAGAAGACAAAAGGAAAACTGGCTGGAGAAGTTAATAACTGCAGCTCTTGATGCCTCCAGCTCTGCTTCTGTACAGAACAGACAGCCACAGCAGCTTCAGGGCTATTTCTCAATGAATTTAGAACATAGCCTGGAAAACAGGCACTCTTCTGGTTTAATCACAAACAGGACTAAATGCTAAAGTTGTTCCTGGAGATAAATGCTGACTGTCTGCTCTTCACAGATCCTATCTTGGCCATTTTTTACAGCAAGTGATGATATCTCTAAGTGCTTGTTTAGGAAGTGTCATTCCAGGACGCTCAGTTATCTCTGAACCATCAGACTGTTCAAACTCATCTCTCACTTTCCACACATGTACCCTCATCACCTAGGGGAGGAATGGAACTTGCTCTCTGCAGCTCAGACATATTCCTGTCCTTATGGCGGTGGATCTAGTTCAGAGGTTGCTATCTGTCTTCCTTAACCTAGAGTTTGGGTTTGTCCCACAACACTCTAAACCAAAGGCAGAAATAGCTAGGTAAAAAAGAGAGACAAGCTCCTTTCAAAAATGTCCATAGAATCATAGAGCAGCCCAGGCTGGAAAGGGTCCTCAAAAGATTATCTGGTCTAGCCTTTCATGGCAAAGGGAGCAAGCCTAAATGAGATTATCCAGTACCCTCTCCAGTCACATTTTGAAAACCTCCAGCAATGGGGACTCCACCATATCCCTGGGAGGTTGTTCCAGTGACTGATCTCACTGGAAAAAAAGGTCTTTCTTAAATCAAGATGAAAATCCTCTCAGTACAACTCATACCCATTGCCTCTTGCTGTCTCCATGTGGCTCCTTGTGAAGACAGAGCCTCTGCCATCCTTGCAGCAGCCCTCTAAGCCTTAGAATTCTCTCAACTTTTCCTTACACAGCTTTCCAGACCTTGAATCATCTTTGTGGTCCTTCTCTGAACCTTCTCCATCCCATTCACATGTGGTTTTTCATATAGCAGGGACCAAAACACCACACAGTATTCCAGGTGTGGCCTTGTTTCTTTTAATCTAGTTCACTACACACTACACAAACCTGACTGACAGGACCACAAAAGCCATTGAGCTGGCACAAGAGAGGCAGCAGAGACATCCGGGCTGGGATGTCAGCCTTCTGCTGAGTCATGGAAGAATCCCAAAGTTTTGATTACTCTAAGTTTATCTCACTGCTTGGAAATTCATTCTGCCAGCTAGGCACTGAAAAGCAAAGTATGCTGTGACACCAAAACTTTTCATCATCTCTTGCTGGAAGTGCCTTGCCAAAAACAAAGGACATGGTCAATCATGAGGAGAAGTTGTGTGAATGAGTCATGAAGCATACTTCATGTGGGATTACTGATTGTAAACAAGGGTATCAGCAGCTGTATGCTACCTGGTATTTGTACAATACTTTGCACAAGCCATGGTCTTGTCTTGAGGTTTCCAGTGGCCACTCTTATACAAACAACACATCACAATGCCATGTTGATCACAAAAGGAAGTCAACTCTAATGACCAGAAACGTAACTCAACCTTTACATTGGCTAAACCCAGTTTCGTTCATGACTATCTCATATCTCAGTGAACACATATTCCCTATTTTGTCTATCTGTTGCCTTATGTACAAAATGTAAACTACCAGCTTTCTAAAACAGTTGCTTTGGGGCTTTCGTTTGTTTTTAGGTTGTGGGTTTTTTTTTATTTTCTCAACAAAAAACATAGGATTGCGGAATCACAGACTGATTTGGGTTGGAAGGGACCTTAAAGCTCATCCAGTTCCAACCCCCTGCCATGGGCAGGAGCACCTTCCACTAGACCAGGTTGCTCCAAGCCCCGTCCAACCTGACCTTGAACACTCCCAGGGATGAGGCAGCCACAGCTTCTTTGGGAACTCGTGCCAGTGTCTCACCACCCTCACAGTACAGAACTTCTTCCTGATATCTAATCTGAATCTCCCCTCTGTCAGTTTAAAGCCATTCTTCCTTGTCCTGTCACTACAGACCTTTGTAAAAAGCTCCTCTCCAGCTTTCTTGACAGCCACCTTTTAGGTACTGGAAGCTGATCTAAGGTCTCCCTGGAGCTTTCTCTTCTCCGGGCTGAACAAGCCCAACTCTCTCAGACTCTCCTCATAGCAGAGGTGCTCCAGCCCTCCGAGCATCCTTGTGGCCTCCTCTGGATTCGCTCCACATCCTTCTTACATTGTTGTCTCCAGAGCTGGACACCAGACTGCAGATAGAGTCTCACAAGAGTGAAGCAGACGGCAAAATCCCCTCCCTCAACCTGCTGGCCACATTCTTTTTGGCACAGCCCAGAATACAGTTAGTTTCTGGGCTCCAATCTCACACTCCCAGCTCATGTTGAGCTTCTCGTCACCCAATACCCCAGAGTCTTTCTCCTCAGGCTGCTCTCAATCCGTTCTCCTCCCAGCCTGTACTTGTGCTTGGGATTGCCCTGACACAGGTGCAGGACCTTGCACTTGGCCTTGTTGAACTTCATGATGTTTACAGGGGCCCAGCTCTCGAGCCTGTCAACGTCCTCCTGAATGGCATCCCTTCCCTCCAGCCTCACCACACAGCTTGGTGTATACAAGTATGTATCTTGGTGTATACAGCTTTGTGCACATACACTGCCTCTCACAAGGGGGCTCTGACTTTTAACTGTGGAGCTTTCTGAGCCTATTGAAATTCAAATAACTAACAGATCCCTTTCCATCATTCTTCCCAACTGCTCAGTTCTATCAATTGCTCATCAAATCCATGCCACATGCAGAGAGGAAAAAATGTCAAAACTAAAAAGTATTTGTGAATAAAGTCCAAAACATACAAATAAAATCCTCTCTGACCACGCTACTTAGCTCAATGTGTCTAGTCTCACCTATTTGCAGTAATAAGTGCATTCTCTGAGAAGAAACTTGCATTTTGGCCTGTAACACAAGAAAAAGGGTTCAGATTGCCAAGAGCTTTGCAAACATGGGCTCGTTCTAGCGGCTCTGGTCTAGGCAGCATTTCCAGAGTGGCTGTAGAAGAGCTTCCCATAGGTAGGACTCTACTGACACTAACAGTTGTGACATCAATTCTAGATTATGATAGGAGGAGTTAGAAATGCACATAAAATACTGTTTTGCTTTATTAAGTAGCAACCAGAAATGTCAGTATCACATGTTAATTAATGATTAATGTTAGAGGAAGGAGATGCATACCTGACATTTTTAAACTGGTAGAACAAGTTTTCACAGCGCAGAGGAGGAAAGTTCTCTGTAATACACAGTAATGGGCTGTGTACTTGGAATCGTACACTGCGAATTTCCCCACCTTCAGGACAGAATGTGTCAACACACAGTTCCTCTCCCAGAATAAAGTCAGTGCTGGGGTGAGCAGCAGGTAATGTTGAAGAACGAGGAAAGGAAAAAAAACCAACATACAAATGACGATCAAAAGGACACAAAAACTCTTTCAGGCACACCTGGGGTAAAAAAATGTCAACAGAGCACATTTTTAATGTAAGACTAGACCCGATATTACAAGGTGCTGAAAGTCAATCAAGAAATAAAGAAAATAACACTGTGGAGCTGACAAAGCCCTGGAACTGTAAGATCTTCCTCAAGGTGATGTCCTACTTAGCAAGGAGTGCTTTAGGTCAGGCAGGGTGAGTTAGTATACATATAATGCTGTAAGAGTAATACATTGAAGTTATCCAGCATCCCACACTGATGAATCTCAAAGCACTCCAGCCTGATATTCCCACAATGGAAATCAGTACATGCCTGCCTTTAAGTATATGTAGTAGATACCACTCCTACTTTGCTCCTTGATGAAACAAGGCACTTTCCTCTCCTGCACTGTTGTGTAATAGATGTTACATGAAACAGTCATATGATCCTCTACCAAGTTGTAGGCAGAGCCAAGAATACAAAATAGAGGTAGGATTCATCAAGCCTAACATTAGCAAGTTATAAACTAGGCCTCCAGTCAAGAAAGACACATGGGACTCTGCTCAGGTTTCACCACTCTACAACCACTGGAGACACGTTTCCTCACAATGTGGTTCATCCAACCTCTCTTAAACTGGTGGATTTACCCTGTCTTGACTGTAGAATGACCAAACAGCTTTGATTAGAGACTAGCTTTAAAATAACCAAAAAATCACCCCAAGTAAATCTCTGGGATCTCAACCATTTGCTCGCCTCCTGGACACCATTCCTGCTCTGAAGGATGTTCAAGAAATCTGCAAACGGGATGACTAACCATCTCATCTTGCTGTCCTACGCTGCACAGCTCCCCCTTCCTGCTTCTGTTACACCATTTATTTTGGGTAGGGTCACATCTCTTGGAAACATCTCTATCTTCATAGAATCATAGAATCACAGAATGGTTTGGGTTGGAAAGGACCTTAAGATCATCCAGTTCCAAAACCCCTGCTATGGGCAGGGACACCTCACACTAAACCATGTCACCCAAGGCTCTGTCCAACCTGGGCTTGAACACCTCCAGGGATGGAGCATTCACAACTTCCCTGGGCAACCCATTCCAGTGCCTCACCACTCTAACAGGAAAGAATTTCCTTATATCCAATCTAAACTTCTCCTGTTTAAGTTTGAACCTGTTACCTCTTGTTCTATCACTACAGTCCCCAATGAAGAGTCCCTCCCCAGCATCCTTTTAGGCCCTCTTCAGATACTGGAAGGCTGCTATGAGGTCTCCAGGCAGCCTTCTCTTCTCTTCTCCAGGCTGAACAGCCCCAACTTCCTCAGCCTGTCTTCATACAGGAGGTGCTCCAGTCCCCTGATCATCCTCGTGGCCTCATCTGGACTTGTTCCGACAGTTCCATGTCCTTTTTATGTTGAGGACACCAGAACTGCACACAGTGCTGCAAGTGGGGTCTCATTTTGAGGTATTTCCTGCTCTAGGCATATTTCTGCCGCTACAGCGCAGATGAGAAATAATTTCTGAGAGAGGCTTGGAATTTCTAGTGTTTACAAGTCAAATGGTTAATTTGATGGCTGCCATAGCCTTGTACAATGAAGGAAGGAGGGGACATGATTACTTGATAAACAACAGTGAGCATGATGATATATTAGCAATAAATAAAAGTACATACAGGCAATATTTGTTACTGAGCTGTTAAATACATGGGTGGCACAGATTAACAAGGCATGTAAACGTTTCTTTTCCTTATTGAAGAGGAGGGCTGAAGCAGGAGACTTTTCACCTATTTTACCCTCAACATTTCCCAGTAGCTCAGTGACAGGACAACCTCCACAGATCCAACAATTTATCCCTCGTGATCGGGGCTAACCCTGACACCGGACCGGGAAGGGTTTTACCTCAGGGGTCTCAGACGAAGCCAGAGGTATCGCCTACCTCCTCACCCACCGCGGGCCGCCATGGCTGCCCGCCCTCACAGGGTGCTGTGGAGACCCACGGCGGCCACCCGGCGCACACGGTTGGGGGGGACGGACACGCGTTTAAACCGCGCACCGGAGGGTTCTGTGGCAAACTCCCTCGCAGCAGACCGCGCTGCAAGTAACCTCAGACGGAGGAGTACCGGCCTCATGCTCTTCCCAGAGCCTGGGACGAGAGCGACCGTCCCGCCCGGGCGAGGCGGAGCCCTGACGAGCCGCCGCTCTCCTCACAGAGCTGAACCACCCCGCCCCGGCGTGGCGCGGCGCCCGCCGCTTTAACCGCCCACCGTGGGTGGCGGCGGGGCGCAGTGCGCATGAGTTCGGGGTGGCTGCGGCGGACCCCTACCTACTGCCGGTCTTCTGCTGGGCTTGTTCCCCGTACCCGGGAGAGGACTGCTCCTTGGAGCCGGTGAGTGCAGGCTCCCCTCGCCCTGCGCGGAGCCTCGGCGCTCGGGCTGAGGGGATCTTCGCTTCTATTTTACCTCTGCTTCAGCGTTCGTCTTCCCGGAGCTGGCGGCGAGTGAAGCCGCTGGAGTGAGGCGATGAGCTCCGACCTTCTTCCTGCGCTTCTCTGTCTTTTTCAGCCAGCGGGGAAAGGTCGCGGAGCTCTGCGCGCGTTCGCCAGCCCGCGACAGGAACGGTTCAGTTGTGGAGTTATTGCTCGCTAATGGGTTTTTAATGATTTCCACCCGTTGTCGCCGGTTGCAGCGGTCGGGACGGCGGCTGCCCCGTGTTGCTGCGTTGGTTCTCGCCCGCTGCTCTCCCGGGTTGGGGCTGCGGGCTGGGACCTGCCTCCCGCAGCTCTGCCAGCGCGGAGAGCGGCTGGTACCGGAGAGAAGAAAGGCTGCTAGTTAGTAACTAACTGCTTCCCCGTTGCGGGCGAGGCGTAGTTTCATGGTACGAAGCTATGCGAAGGGTTATTTTTCTTCTGTTCCCCTTGTATTTCTTGTTCTTCCCCATCATATCCTGTCTGAAAGCAATTTGCGTGTCTTAACTGGCAACTTAGAGAAGGAAAGGTTTCGTAGCCGTACATTGTTAAACTTTGGATGTACGCTATGGCTGAGTGACTAAGGGTGATGGGAAAGAGCTGCCTTACTCCTCCTCATTGTTTTCTGACTGTCTGCAGTTGAATGTTGCCATTAGAAAAAAGTTGGCTTAAACAGCAGCAGATCTTAGTTCAAAACACTTCTTTTCCCTACCTTCTATCAGGTGCCTTTTCCATCTGGTGATGGTATGTGTGAGATGGCTGGTTGTTATTAAGATCATAATCCTAGGTAGTTCAGGCGAGGTTTAGTGTGTGAGAAAGAAACCACAACCTTAAAAGCACCCCCGGGATTTTCAGTAATGCAGGATCTCAGTGGCATGTTTCCTGGGTAGTTTATGCTTTAGTGTGGCACCGAGAGGAGCTGAACGCGGAGCTCTGGAGCTCTTGGTCCTGTGCATGGGCGTAGCAGGAGATGATTCCTGTGGGAACAGGGATGCAGGTGAAAGGAAAGAAATTTGCAGGATGTTGTCTCTGTTCTGAAAACTTTGCAAGGCTTTTAAGCTATAACAAGCTTCAGAAGTGTAAGTAACAATTATTTCCTCTCCTGTTCCTTTTATGAAGGGCACAGGAGGAAACGCTTCTTTCTAAACCCTAAAGCGTAAGTCTTAGTCTTAAAAGCTTTCACAATTTCTAGCTTAGGCTAATAAAGAGTTTTTTTTTTAAGACTTTTCTGCAGATCCTTGACTAATGGAGTGTTGCAGATGGACTAATTTGTACAGGTACTACTAGGAAGAATAGTGGTTGTGGCTTTTTTGCTTTCTTTGCAGTAATTACTGCTGTATAAGGGGGGAGCTGACATTTAAACAGGAAAAAAGAAGTTACTCACTGGCATCTCCAAAAAATGAAGATAGTCATTATTTCTCAGAAGTTAAATACATTTTTCCAGCTGTGTCTTTGGGGTTTTTATAACAGAGAGTGAGTGAATAAAATGAATTTTTATGCCTGGAAATACAAATAATGACCAACATTGGGAAGGAACAGAGAAATTCTATATTGCGTCTCTTTTGTCAATAGTAAACCTCTTCTCCTCCTGTTGGTTGTAACTGCTTTTTCTCGGCATGACTCTGAGAGAAATATTAACCAAGAATGTTGGCAGAGGGGCTTGTTGGTTGGATATAGTAACTGGAACAACTCAGCTCCTGAGCAGTTGACAAGGCTCAGGCTGAATGACCTTCTGAAATACTGGAGCATGAGGAGATGAATGTGGCTTTCAGAGCCAGCCAGGCAGGCTGTGTCAAACACATTACCAAGGCCTCCCTCTTTTTTTTTTTTTTAATAAATGAAAGCAAGGATTTTTAATTTCCAGTGTAACCAACTGCTTGAAGAGATCCTTTTCGAGTGGGTGTGTATTGATTATCCCTGTACCAAGGAAGGTCCAGGGTGAAACTTGACTGCTGTTTTCTGCCAGTGCTGTTCTCAGCTCTGTTTGCTTTGGGCAGGCAGACCTTTATGTACTCACATAGGAATGAAATGAGCATTAAATAAGCTGCTTTTTAAAGTAAACACCTCTGCTTTGTGCTCTGGATGTCTGCTGCCCTCCTCCCTCTACCAGCATAGCAGTCACAAGAAGAAACATTGGAAAGTAGCCTAACATCCAGCTGTGAGACTGTGACACAGCCGTGCCAGAGCTGAAAATCGTGTTGCTGTCTTAAATACTTTGCAAAACAAGATTTAGTTCACCTTTGCTGTGACTGTGGCAGTACTTGCATAATGAAGCCCTAAACCCCAGTGATGCTACACCTCTAACAAGACAGAAGTTGACTAATTACAGAGGAGTCTGTGCCTGAAACTGTTTATGTGCATTTCATGTTGCTGAAGTGTTGGCTGTCACAAATAGCACCACCCTGATGTTAACAGGGGAGGTGCAAAAAGATGTGACTTTAAAAGAATTGGACACTTCACTTTGTTGAAATTTGCATAAGGGCATCTGAAATCAAAGGAGAAATCAGCCATCAGCTGGATGTGTCTAAATGTGGATGTGATTGTATGATGCTGCATTGTATGATGCTGTGATGTATGATACTGGCCTAGACAGCTCTGGGTATCATAGGTAGCTTTACCACTAAGCAGATGCTGGCCATCAAATCTCAACTGGAGAGAACCAGTGAAAGCCTTATATTTGTCCTTGGGTAAGATCTTAATCTAAAGAAAAGTAACTACTTGTCACCTGCTTTGGTTTTATTTTCAGTTGGGGCAGGGAGCGATTTTGTCGATGTCAATGCTTGGGGAATGTGAGCACTTCAGGCTTTCTCTGTGGATTAAACTACCCGTGTTGGATATGAACCTTTGCCACTGGTCTTTGCTTTAGGCAGTGGGCTTCAGCTGAAGCTGTGATTGATGTAATGAACTGGGAGCAGAGTTTCCTTCCAAGGGATAAGGCAAAGATGTATGAGAATATGCCTCACCATTTTTTTTTTCCTAGATAAATTGTTTCTAGAGAGTGGACCAGTGTACTTGGCATCATCAAATCCTGCATTAGTATTCCACTGTAAGCAGTATTTCCCAAACACTCCAGAGAGGATGATGAGGTAACAAAGATCTAGGCTCTTGTCTTGTGTTGCCTTGGTTGTTTTCAGTAGGCAATAAAATTTCTGAAGTATAGGGTATCCAAAAAAAAACCTAAAAGAAGCTGTTCTTGAAAACCCAGACAGACCAGTTAAGAAGGAAGCACAGTATTGAACCCTCTTTTTCTGTTATCTTGAGGCATGGATTAACATGGTCAAAGGCGTGACCTTAGGCATTGTTTCTGAGCAAAGCATGATTTGGAGATTTCAGGGTAATAATTGATTTATTACTTAGGTGATGAAACGTTGGTTTGTGATTGTTTCCATTCTTTTTAAGTGGTTGCTACATATAATTTGAGATCCAATTCACCAAACCGTTTAAGCGAGTGATGAAATGTTGTAGCG